TTTTTATTAGAGCAATGTGCTCGGCTTGGCCAACTGCACCTTGGGTGTCAGTTTCATGTTCATGTTGGCTAATCCCAGATTTCGCAATGTCGCCACCAGCCAAACTGGATCCGGGGGTCGACCTCTTGAAACTTTTGTCGACGACCTACCAAAAAATATTTTTTGGGCTAGTTGCGACATTGAACGTGAAACTTTCACACAAGGTGCTGTTGGCCAAGCCGAGCACATTGCTCTACTAAAAACCCCACGTTTCATTGTAAAGTTTGGAGATACAGGCGTCTTTATGTTTTACCTATGCTGTAAGCGTGATGGAGTTGCTTTTTCCTAGTGGATGGTGTCGGCTGCATTAACGGAAAGATGAAGAGCTGAGTGAAACCGCACGTAGTGGTTACACAGACACGTCCTTGACAGGTTGCTACACAAATGGATGATGATGATGATTGCCTTTTGTGAAGGTACGTAAGTAAACAGTATCCAATAATGAAGGTGTGTCAAGGTATGTATCACATTTGCATGTAGGAGAAGGTCGAGCTGCATAAACCAATTTGTATATGTAAAAAGATACGTATACATATTGAATGGGTCACTCATCGTCAAACTCAATGGAGGGATCTCTTCACTTTTTCTCTTCTCAAGCTCATCCCACTTCCCACTCCTCCTTATTGTATCACAAAAGCCATGTACTTCTTGCATGACCGATAACCAGACCACCTTTATTATTCCATCTTCGAAGCAATAGTATGTAATCCACAAGCTAGCAACCTCCAACAAGCGTGTACATAATAAATAAACAATGCTTTATTTCATCTAGCTATCTTGCTATGTACTGTACATTACCACCACCATCGTCGTAGTCGTCCTCCGTCATCATTCCTACCCGTACTCGTCACTAGTCGTCAATCTCATCCGTCACACCAACATCCAAAAATACACAAGTTGAAAAGAATGGGGATCTTGCAGGCTTCCTTTTGAATCTCGTTGTCGTCATCATTGTCATTGTTGTAGATGAGATGATCATCGTAATCGTCATTGTTGCGAATGAGGTGGTCATCGTAGTCATCATTGTTTTGCATGTGGTAATCGTGGTAATCGTCGTCTCTATAAATAAGAAAGCAGGCACATTAGACCATCTGATACCGGAAATGAAGACGATTTGGTATACCGCTAGGCGATCCTCTCCAAGGAAGAAAGCAAATCAGAAGGAATTCACAAACCAAATCACCACCATACGAGCAACGTCGGGCGATCCCTTGTTGTTGAGAAAGCACTGCACGAATCACGCAAGGCCAGTTCGATCCATGGCAAGGAAGGACATCACTTACGTAGAGTCCAGGCTCATTCATCCTCTCCAAAGAAAGAATGATCCCCAATCCTTCCAATCATTTTCCCACCTCATGAAAAGAAATCCGCAAGGGAAAGAACGAGCCTATCACGAGAAGAGCGTGTTGGTTCAACACATTCACAGGCTGTTGCAAATCCCCTTTTACCTCAACACGGTGACCACGCTCTTCCAAACAACCCATCGTCATCGACCCATCAACTCAAACGCAGGCCTATAGAGCCCTGGACGCGTTCCAAGAAGCTTTTGCAGCACACTTGGCTAGTGCAGAGCGACGCAGCGGCCACTTGATACAGGCTGGGACTTGAACCTAAAGAGATGATG